ACGTATCATTCTTCACTATCACGTCATGACTTCTTTCCGCTTTGCATCACACGGATTAACATCTGTCTTATTATTTAGCAGTGTCGTAAATTAATGACAAGTAATGCGAGGCAATTTATTAACTCATTTTCCTCTTTTCATACACTTCATTTAAAGCAATCATATAAACGAAAACGACTATATTAAGCTGTCACTTCGAGTTATTTAATCTCTCCATTATAAAGTCACTTTCAGCGTTACGAGAAATTTTTGTCTTTTTGTTTTTCAAAAATACATTCAATTTTATCGTTTTGTAATTTGCAGTGAAAAGTGCAATGAAAGAATAAATTCAAATTAAAGGCTATTTTTTTAATTTGGAGTGGAATCTAAAAGTTAATGAAATGAAAAATAATCCAGTGCTTCAAAATTTTTCTTTAAATCTGAATTTTCCTTGTTTTATATTTTGAATTTATTCTAATAAAAAAATCCCAATTGAAAAATTTGAAGCAATATTCTCTTGAAAATCTCTCAAGACAGACCCATCTCTATCTTTGTTTGCTTCATCCCTCTATTTATTATTATAATTAATTTCTCCATCATGTTATTCACACAACATCCAAACATTTTACAAAAAATTAGTCCAATTTTTGAATTTTTTAAAATTCTTTTTTGATTAATATGCGTGATAGCATTACGCAGAAGAATGCCAACACAAGATGTTCATGGAAATTATATTTCATGCATAATTTACAAATGGAGACGAAAATGAGCAACGTAACCTTTAGTTGAATTTCAAGAACAGAAATGTTGGTATCAAATTTTATTTCTATTATCAAAGCAACCGATTGGAAGTATGAGAATTTGATGTTATTAATTTTGAATCATATCACTGATAAAAATATATACTTTCAAAACATCTTCAGTTCTGCTTCCAACTACTTTTTCTTTCACTTCTCTCTTTCTCTTTTACTAGAAAATTGCCCCACTTTTCGTCTTTTCAAATAAATTCTTGTTCTGTTGTTGCGTCAAATAACTAAGATTGCAGGAAGACTTCAGCAACTAAATATTTCGTTTCTATTTTTGAAGCTTTGAATATTCAAAAGGCAAAAATTAATGTTTTACTTTAGCTTAAGATTTGAAGAAGTTTAGAAAAGGCTATTTCTTATAAAGAGGGAAAGAGATAGAATAGAATAAATGCATGCTTGTCATGCGAACCTTTTATCATTCTTTTGCTGCTACTCATCACCTTATCTTTATCATTCATCACTCTTTCTTATGGTTTGTCATTGTTGCTCAGTTCCAATCTCTTCAAAATTTTGTTTCACTGTGGCGCTTTTTGATGTGAATTTGCTTATCTAATTCTTCGCAATGTGTTTTATTTTTACTTGACAAATTGGGGAAATGAATATATTTAAATGGATTATTAACCGCAGGGAAATGAGTCTTTATAGAATTCTCGTTGTCGTGAGAAATGCACAATTTACTGCTTTCAGATCATTTCTTTTTTTCATTTTTATTCAGTTTTTTCTCCCACCAACGTAATGTGAAAGCTATATAAAGGAAAAAATATGCATTTACATGACAGTTTCGTCTTTACAGTCTTTGAAATGATTTTTTAAATTATTTTCTAACGTATGTGATAGATGCTGAATGATTCGATGAACTCTCCGTTGCAGTAACCGGTATCATGCGATCGGAAAAAGGAAAAACAAGTGATGAGTGTGTGAAATTAATTGCTTCTTCATTTCCTACCAATATCTGAATTTCTGGAACTTTGAGTCTAAAAAACTTCTTTTCCTTACTTGATTCCACAACAACCTTTTCTATTTGATATCTCACTATCATGAAATAAATTAATATACCATTTCAATTCATCGAAATATACACAAGAAAAATTAGCATAGCCAATAAATTAAGAGAAATGAAGGAGAAATTCATACATTCCATTGTTACGTTTACTTGGATATCGTAGTCTGTGAAGAATAAAAACAAACTTTTCAAGTAGAACAGTAAGTGAGTAATTAAACTAATTCCATTCCATCTAAGTTCGAATGTATCTGCAACTTAATTCACTCACAGAAGAGGTCAACCCGTCCTCCTTCTTCAAGTGTTTCCGATTTGCGGACTTGATTTGGAATTTACCGCATCACTGGACTGCTATGAAAGTAGCTCTCTCTGCGATCAATTCTCCAATTATTCTTCTCTTGAATCACTTGGAAAGCTTCCGATTGCTCCGTCTGCATCTATTGATAGATCAATATCAAATTTCAACCACTGATTATCCGATTATTGAACTGGTAATCAGTAGGCCAAAAGAATTCATTAGTCTCCATGGCTTATTGAAATCTTTAGCAGTATGCTTCTGTCGACGATCGCTATGTTCTTTGTAATATGAGCAAAATTTTGCCGATCATTTAAAATTCATCAGTGGACATAGTGACTGTGCCTAACTTATTATATGTTAACAGCTTTCAATATTTTCAGTTAATTGTTAGATTTGGGAAAAATGAGTTAGCAAAATTTCAATGGCTAAAAATTTTCACATGGAAAGTTTTTGAAATAATATGGGTATTTTTAATGCTCATCCTGCAACTTTATTTTCATTAAAATCTTACAAAAATTTCATGAAATCTTTTCTGTTACTTATTCTCTCTCTTTTCCTTCTTTCAACAAATTGGCACGTTTTCAGCCTTTGGAACTAAGTAAACGAGTTTGCGCGTTATGATGTTATTAATAAATATGAATGAATTTGTTGTTTGCAAAGCTGATTGATGTGCGGAGATTTGATAGAGAATACATTCTCATTGAGTGAAGGATATTGATTAATTTTAATAGTTATCTTTTCTTGTCAATTTTTTAAGGTGATGATTTTTCGGATTTTTGACTAAATTTAATAACCCAGGTTGATATTTGAATTGAATACACTTCTAAGCATTTTTAATTTTACTCATGGCTTTGTAACGAAATCCAATCTTTTATATTGATGGATGATTTGTTCCTAAAATTTCAAGCAATTTAAAAACTTCCCATCTTAGATGAGTGCATCAAATGATAACAGTTTGATAGCGTGAATGAATTCAAATGGATGATTTAAAGATCGTTCTTGTTAATTTCCTCTAAAAGTTTTAAACCGTACTGTATTACACATATAGTATCGGCATCCATTAATGACACATTCTTGTAAATAATCCTAGCACATTTTGCTGGGACGAATGAATTTGAATACGATTAATGATTCTTGAATTTTCATTGGAAGTTTAATTAAATTTTTTCTTAAATTTAATTAAATTTGACATTGCTTTCGAAAGCATAATTAAATATGATTTGAAAACATGTATGTGAAATTAATTTTTATGTTTCACAGAACTAAAACCCTAGATTTCTGTAATTTTCGATTTCGAATTGAAATTAGTTATTCTGTGCAGAAATTTAGAATTATTATCTGTTAGTCTTTAATATTCTGGTATATATCATTCGATTCTTTTTTAAAAACGTTTATGACGGATTTTTTGATCAATTTTCAACAGATATTTGAAATTTGTGAGAGCTCTTCCAGCCAGCAATTGTAAAATTTTAAATCAAATTCTTCACTTTGTCAACCATTAACAAAGCATTTTCCTCATCATTTCCCTACTCTGAAAAATTGAGATATTTATCCATTTGGCTGAATTATTGATATTACTTACTATCGATATTGTATTATACATATAGTATTGATGCCATAATCATAATTGATAATTTGAAAAATTGGCAATAGATATATTAATATGAAAGAAAAGAATTTTAATTTTCTTTCTTTTCAAAATTATAAGTTAGAAAATAAAATCTGTTAACTAATTTTAGTATTAATATATCTATTGCCAATTTTTCAAATTATCAACTATGATTATGGCATCAATACAATAGATTCTATATGTATAATACAATATGGACAGTAAGTAATATCAATAATTCAGCCAAATGGATAAATATCTCAGGAAAGAGTCCGCCTCTTTGGTAAGGAAAAATCGAAATTTTAGATCAACAGACTTTTTCTTATAAACAAGACGGATTCTACTTCGAAAATGTTAAAAATACTACTGATCCAAAATTATTTTACTTTTATTAAACATTCTTTATCAACTGATTTTCAATTACTTCATTTCCAAGTTCTTATTATTTAAATATAAAATTAGGGGTATTAGCACTGTGCTGCTAAAAGTTATGATACCGTAAGCTAATGCATTTTTATGAATCCTTGCTCTTTGAAATTGTGTTAATTACTAAATTATATGAAGCCTTACTTTATTCACAGTTATATCATTACTACTTTCGATCCAATCTGTGCCCTGTACCCGTCATATGCATATTTCTCTTTGCTAACTTTTAGAGATTTCTTATTTCGAATTTTTGACAAACTTTTAGAATTTATGGTACTATAATTGTATGTATTTGCAATATTGAAATCTGTTTTTCGAGAAGAAGCAATACGAAGGAAAGCTTTCCAAAATGATTGCGAACATAAGTTGAACAAGAAATGGAAAAGAGTATAAAAAATAGTAAGAATTATTTGATTAAAGTGGGTAAAACACAGAACACTGTCATACAGTAAGAAACACCCTCGTTTCTCTTATCATCATCGTTATCACTCATTATCATTGTCACCATTACTATCATCTACCATTATCCTTCTATTTCTGACACGCCTTATTTGCTATAAGACATAGAAGTGATCATAAAGAGAAAAAGAAGAAAAACGGAAGTGATGCTGTCAGTCTTTTCTGGTTGCGATGAAATTTTGGAAGGGAAGAGAAGACTAAATTTTTTTGAATTACTTTCATTTAAAGTTTTTTCCGCGTGCTTTTCTTGAATTTAATTTAAAAGTGACAGATACATGCATATCAACGCACAGCTACCTTATCCTTAATTTTCCGTCTGACATTAATCTCTAACATCTATAAATTTTAGTTCTCCTGCAATATTATCTATTTTCTTATTTCCATCTACCATAGTCGTTTTTACATTAAGCGACATCAGTCGACATGTTCCGGTGCATTTTCTGGATTATTGCTTTGCTCGCAGTCACAGAAACAGCAAGAATAACAAGCGGAACATTATCGGAATTACGGCAAAAGCAATGTTGGTCATCCGGTAATGGTCAATCCGCTCGCTGGTTCAGTCACGGTGAACGAATTAGCAGAGGTCCATTCTTTCCTTGTTTTTTTGATTTGTTTTGTGATCAAAACAATGAGTAAATACCTGTGAAATAAAATTACAATTCATAGATTCAACATCCTCTTTAAGCAGGAAAAACTGTTCTCTTTGAATTTTCAGAAATAAATTAAAACAATTAAATGCTAGCTTATAAATAGTGAGTAGCAGACCATTTGAAAGAGATATTCGAATCCAAAATTTCTTATTCCTTTTTTGATTTTTTTTATTATTTACCTTTCTCTCTCTCTTGTTATTTGCACTGTCTTGTCACGTACGCTTATATTACCATGTATGATTCTTACAAAATGATTTTCCTATTCAAATTTGAAACACTTTACATCTTTTTTTCCTGCATATCAGTAATCAGGCAAGTGCTGAGTGAAAGATTTCTTGCCAAATGCCACTTTAAAAAATTTAACAACAATCTGACATCGTCGGTACCAATTTCTTTAATTTCATGAGATTTCGCAAAACAGTAGAAAAACATATTTGTAGATGAACTTATTTTAAAGAACAATAAAGAAGTTGTAAATTAAACGAAACTAATTCAATTAATCCTTAACTCCTTCGTGATGATTTTATAGGAATGATACTCGAATGTAGATATGATAGTTTCAGACTTTATCATCGCTAACAAATTCATTAGATCAATCCTTGGCTTGTATTAAAATTACAGAAGGTGGACATTTGTCACCAATTAATAGATTTTTGTGGTTTTTAGGAAAGTATTGGTATAAATGTAATAACGGTGTATTGAAACCACAAGGCTGCTTCACGTCAACCAACGATCAGATAAATATTGGTGAAAAATTTGTGGAAAACGGTTATGAAATAGAATGTATCCTGGATAAAGGTGGATATTTGCAGTTTGCATTTACGGCATGTATCCCGAAACCGGACGAGCGATATAAGATCGGTGAAACGTGGGAGGATGAACAGGTAGGTCCCCAAACGTAAAACATGTGATAGGCAAGTAATGTTTAAGTAATAATTATGAAACACTAATTTCAGTCATAAGCATGGACAGATTAGATAGATTGTTATTGATAAGATTGGTTCTATACATTTCAGTATATTTTCTATATTATAGCATATGTACTGGTTTGAATGTAAAGCCGACGGACCATATTTGAGGGTTGAAATTAGAGGCTGCGTAATTCACGACAAATCACGTAGGATTGAGCTCAATGAAAAATACGATTTGGGGGAATACACGTTTGTTTTACACGTCATTCTTTCATTTCTCTTTTTAACAGTAATCTTTTTAGCATCTTTTTTTACTTTTATTGTATTTCTTTACGATCAAAATTCAGTTTTAGTGAGGTCAACAATGAAATAATTGGATAAAATAGTTCGTGATTGATTTGTTTTGACGCTTAATGTCAAAACTGTCCGAAGGTGAGTATTCATTATCTTCAATTTCCCTTTTTCTTGAGTGCATCAGAAACGCTTTTCAGATATCAGTGTCTGAAGAAATACAATGGTTCGGTACAAATGTGTTCCGTCGGATGTGTCCACAAAGGAGTGCGCTACAAAATTGGTGACCAATGGACTGTTAGTTTTTTTTTTTTTTTCAATAAATGCAATTAAGCTAGAAGAATATCGAAAAGATATACTTAAATGGAATTCCGATCTTTTGATTCAATTAAAAATCACTTATTAAAAGCACTTAATTGAACGTATTAATCGACAAATTCTAATTTATTTTTTAATTCAGCTATGCTTTGCATTATTTTTTCTACTACACTGTTGATTCCCTCATTGAAGTTGGATAGTATAATGTGAATATATAAAATACAAACTTTTATGCTCATTTTTTTTTGGAAAACGACTGAATGTAATTTCATTTTTCGTTTCTGCTTCCTCTTTGATATTTTCATTTCACAGTTAAAAAAAGCAACAGCAAAAATAAAATTGACTGCATTACATTTTAACTGTTAAAGATGGACATTCCAAAGTTTGTTTGCTAAGTTACTAAAGCATATCTTTGCAAGCCCTTTCCAAATTATCGTATACAAACATTTCATATTTTCTGCTTGCAAACATTGGCATAATTAAATTTGAATAAAATTGAACTATTGATTTATTTGCAACAATTTATAAAACGCAATTGAAGCAATTTATTTGCAAAAATTTAAAGTTCCTATTTTTAAATATTAACTTTGTCATAGGAAGAATCAAAATTCGATAACCAATATCGTTGGGAATCAAATGATTTTCTGTTGGCTTTATCATCTGAAACTTATTTTTAAGTATTATTATAGATGCTACTCATATCATTACAAAATTGAGGAAGTGATCGATGTGCAGAGAGGCATTTGAAACAAACTATGAATTATCGGAACTATGATTTTAACTCCTAAAAATAGCTCATTTTCAATTTCTCTTTTAAAATTACCTTTCGATTTCAAATCGTGAATTGAATTATGATTCAAACGAACATATTTGATCATTATTGATTTAGAGAATAGATATAAGTTGGAAATAAATGAATCATTGCAATTTTTTTTGTTCCGCTATCCTTTTACGTGAGATTATCCAAGTTTTCCGAGTTTTTTGATTAGAATGATTGCTCGAAATATTATCTAAGAGGTCAATTCATATTTTCACGAGATTTTACGATTAAGATTTTTAACCATAGCGTAGTAGATTTCGAGATTATACTTTAAGATACATCACAATGAGTGTTCTTTTCCCGAAAGATATTTCTTGATCAGTATATAAAAAGCATTTATTGAAATTACTGCATACAATTTTGAATTAATCACAGTTGTGATGGAAATCAGGTCTATGAGAGTTTTGAAACCAAAATTTAACTGTAGACGGGATATAATATTCATGGTAAATACAAAGGATCCGTCAAATAACAGTGGATGGATTCTTCAAAATTGGAGACAAAGATATGAAAGCCAACTGTCATAGCATTCTTTCATGACCATTTGAAATGCTTTATTTTCATTTTCATATTTTATTCATAAAATTCAGGAATTTGAATCCAAAATAAATCATGATAATTGCTTTGTTAATATATCTGATGATAATTTCCGATCATATTTGATGAAACGTCAAACAAGTAAGCTTAATTGCATATTGCATACAAATATGTACGTACGTATCTTTTTCGTATACGTATTTACATGGCCATTTATATGTTTTTATGGTTTTTTTATAAATTAAGTAAAATGAAAAAGATTTTGTTTTAAAATAGTGATAAAATGAATGAGACGATCTTTCTTCTATGATAGAATTTTCTGGTTTAGTAATAGATTTAAAATAATTTCGTTTTCGATTAATGCCCACTGATGGATTTGCACGCATTGAGTAAATTACAGTTACAGTAGCGCAGTTTAGAAAAAGGTAGGAAGTGTTAGTGATGGAAGTGTGAACTTATGCGTTGCAAACGTGCCATTTGGTGACAAAGAAAAATTTAGAGTGATGTGATTTATTGAGAAAATGATTGAATGATAGACGAAAGAAAGTGCCACTTCTCGCTTGATGTTTCGATCGAGTGCATGTTAGGAGAAAAGATAGCATCTCACTGCAACGGTAGTGGCCCTTCTACTGCTGAAACGCAAGTACCATATACTGCTTACTTGTTCCAATTCATTCCAATAATTGTGTCCCCTTAAATTTATTGTTGCAAAGTGATATTTCTCGTGCCAATAAGTTGCTATCAGTGAATATAAAGAAACAAATTCGGGAATCGCCGGGAATATCTATTAAGACAAGAACTTCCTTTTTCCTTTATAATCACTATAATTTCGTTCAAAGTCAATTTTCCGGATCTTTCATATGCATTTTAATCTTTTTTAAATCAAAAATCTTTTTGATTTCCCACCAAAAGAAAAAAGGAATGGCGAGTTCTGGAAAGTACCACTAAGTAGATGAGTAGCGAAACATGACTTAAGCATGTAATTAGAAGGGATAATAGTGATCAGCTAACGACCAACGATGGCGTGAAACAATGAAAACAGATTGAAAGTAACCGTCTACATTCGCTATAACTACAGAAATAGTTAACCTTCTTCTCACTATTTCATTTTGCAGTCTAAAAAAAATTTCAAAACTGTTTGATTCTTAATCATGACCTGATGCTAACACTTACATCTCATGAAGTATTTCTTTGCTCTGATCAGTTCTAATAACTAACTCTAAGGTGAGGAAATTAAGACGGTTATAATTTTTGATTGTGATGATCCTTGAATTCCAGCTAAGTCTAACAAACAAGTTTCAATTAGAGATTTTTTCGTTCGGCTGTCGAAAACAGCTGAACTGAGTAGTAATTAATTGTTATGATTAGAGAGGATTAACTGAGGACAGTCAGTCCAGAAAAAGTCAACAGAAGAGCACTGTTCAATACATTCAGTACAATTGTATCTCACATTTATAAAAATAATCTCATGAAAAAATTTAGGGTTAAAATTCAAAAATTGTGATATAGTGGATTTACTCTTGTTTGTTGGAGAAGAAACATTTTATTTAAATTTGTTGTAAAATGAATTCTAGAATCGCAAAGTGGAAAAATCGAATTTTCCACCATTTTTAGCATGAAATTTTTAAATCAGTGCAAATTGAAAACGGCTGAGTTAGTTTAACAACTTTTTAACCGATGAGGCTAAATTTCAAGTTTCAATCTGAACCAGAAGGTAAATTTTTAACTAATTCATTTCATTATAAGGTGACATTTTGTTTTATTTTATGAAAGAATTATAAATTTCAGGATGGCGATTTTATTTATTACTGCAAAACAAAAAATGGACGAAGCCAAAAGATCTGTGTGGGATGTCATTTCAAAGATAAATTGTTGTATGATGGAGACCGTTACCATAAAAATGACACGGTGTTTATGTGTGAAGTACGACCGAATAAATACAGACATAAGCCGGTCGGTTGTGTCGTACGTGATACAAAGGGTGAAACGGTGGAGAGAGTGGTCGGATGCAGATGGTATGACTGACTTTTGCTGCAAGATTTATTCAAATTATTCCTTTCAGACGAGCTAACATCCCTTATCTGCTGAGCAGCAGGAAATGTTACTCCATATTTGCAGTACAACAACATACAACTACTCCGATGTAGAAACATATTTTATTTGAAAAAACTTTTTAAAAGATCATTTTTAGAAAAAAAAGTAAATGAAAATTAAAAGTGTGTCACACTTAATTAAAACTAAAAGAAATTAATGTCACATCCAAAAATTGCATTGAAATGCCATTTGACTATATGTTTGTAATTTCCTTTCAAACCTTTCAAAGACTGTTTTTATCAAATAATGCAAATAATATATGCCATTAAGTAGTGATAAAGTTAATTTAAAAATAAATTTGTTAAAAATTATTATTCATACAGGTACCAACAGACAAAAAAATCAAAAGTGGAGCAGACTTGTGTTCTTGAAAACGATAAAGCAGTAGTGAAAACACTGGGATGTATTTTTGTGCACAAAGGATACGACACGCTGTTCCTGAATCCCGACACTTATACCATCTGGAATGAACGAGTCGACGGCTTGGCAATTGGAGTTATTTGCAGGGTTTCTTTCCACCTTCACATTTCCATCCTTTCTCTGGGATAATTTCTCAACTTGCAAATAAATTTCAGCTAAGTTTAATGTCAAAAGATTGTGGCATAAATCATTTGGCTCACTCTAATGGTTGCAATAGTAGTAGGTACGAAAAAGTGATGAAGGAGACGAAAATTTTAAAATCGAATCGAATGTTCCCGTTCTTTGTTCCGGTCCATCAAGTCACACATAGCTTATCTATCCAATGTATCTAAGCTTGAAGAATTCCTTTTAATTGCAGCAATCCAAAAATGATGATATGCCAAGCTTGGAGACATTCAGAATTGAGGATATTGTAAAGAAAGTAAACGGATTACGGTATGATCAACCTCGAGGTTAATGATCTGATCGCATGATCGAAAGTTTTGTGAATTAATCACTTTGTAAATTTTTCATTGTATTATTCACAAAATTATACTATTACACAATTAACCAAACACTTATTTTAAGAAAGAAAAATCAAGAAAAGGAATTGATTTTAGAGAAAGAAAAATATTAATTCGCTATTTTCCGGTCTCAAAATTATGAAATTTATTGTTCCTATGCTTTTAAACGTTTTCACAAATTGAAAAGAGGCACAATTAAACAAAATAATTTCTTTTTTTCCTACATTTCGTATTATTTTTGCAAAAAATTGTAAATATAAAAAATTTAATAAACCGAATGTTCATTTCTCTTGCTATGTAAACGACCAGACATTGCGTTGCATTAATTAGCAAAACTCTCGGGTAACCTTCACCTTGACAATTTTAAAAGTTTAAATGATGACCGTACTTTTCCACCTTCCATACGTTTTTATCGCAGCATCGCTATATTTTTTCACTGCTATATTTATTTTACTTAAGATTGGACAGGAAAAGTTGTCCTTTGATGCGCTGTTCTTAAACAACAAATGCAGCGAAGTTTGGCAAACTTCGAAGTTTACTGTTTCTTCGAAGTGAGACATCAGTTTGAATCAGTGAAATATATTTAATGACCGTTTGAAGACAAGTAGTTGAGCTATTTACTGAATATCGAGAATGAACTGCAAACTTCTTGTGGCCGATTTTTTTCACGAAATGATGCAAAGACGTAGGGCGATAAAGAATTTCCTCTAATGACATTCGCGTAGTCAATCACAAAACTGAGCATTCCGTTTGTTGCTGGAAAATTGTTCATTTTCTTGTCACCGTATTCTTTCAAGTCAATTTCTTGTAGCTTTGGATCTTCGATATTTCCACCGTGGTTAAAGAAAATGCGAGATTTATGAAGACTTTGCCTAAAATGCTTTTTTGATATTTCTAGACTTGAGTGATTGATGAAATACGTCATGATTAATCGTATTATTCATGGTTCTGTTGGCCATAGTTGTTAAATGATTATAGTCAGACGTTTAGTTAGCCTTTGAATGTAGACAGATATCTGAGGTAGTTGCAATTGAGAAATCTAAAAATGGAAAATTAAAGAAGCGAAGAGGAAACCTATAACCAACAATCCATTGCAGAGTGCTACGCAGAGATTCTGTGGAACTAATTTCAGTGATGGAATGACGTCGACAAATCGTCTCTATTGGACCTTTCTCGAGAACAAGAACTTTGATGCAAATCAGCTCTTTTAGACTTCGTTTAGCTCTGCTCGACTTATTCATTGATGAAGTTTGAGTTGCAGATGACTCCTTCAAACAGAGATGATATCCCTCCAAATGATGTAAAGCTACTTCTAAACTATCAACTAAGGCTTCAGGATTTTGATCCTCAATGAATACTCCTTAGTTTTAATAACACTTTAATAATCCCAAAGTGAAAATAAATTTTCGAGCGAAAAAAAAGAGGCCATAAAATAGTTCGACAATATTTTCTGTCCCTCCAAAAATTTCCAGCCTGGTACCATAGCTTGCTGTAGCCGTTTCACATTGTAATCACTATTTCCGTGACCTTTTGCTATCATTTCGTCCATTTTATGCTTGTTAATAATCTTTTGGAAATGTTTATGCCGCAAAATTGGATCCGGACAAACTGGTGCTAAATCGTTGCAACATCCTATGGAACCTGAAACTACCAAATCTCCTTCACTTCTCCGGCACTGTAACTCGACCTTTCCATTTCCAGTTGTTGAATGTATAAGTTTTGATAATTCAAATTTATCTCAGTTACCATCGAAGTTGATGTAACTTCAACACTGAAATTTTGTTTCCTCTGCCTACCACACTCCAATGACTAACGAAGAACCAATTTACAGTACAGAGTAGGCAGATGACACCGCCCGTGGTGCCGAAACACGGTCTACCACAGCGACGGGTTTATTCACCCGTTGATGGAGCTATCGGAGATGAGTTTCATTTCTCAACTATCATTCGCAAGTCTATAAGAATGGACAAGTGAAATAGAGGAAAGGGATAAAGTGCGAGGTCAGGAGTGACGCGAGAGAGAGAAAAAATTTCAACGGTTGTTGCATGAGTCGTTGTCGTTTTAACTCACTTCTAAGGCAAAGTGCTATATTCCTGATATTTGGTGTACGAATTTTGGGAGAGTGAGTTATCAATAGTCTAAATAGTTGATTTATGTGCACTCTGAACAGATGGAATGGTTTCTTGCTTTCTTCTCTGTCAAAAGATCGCACTTCAGATAACCTAAATTAGACGTCTATTTGGCTCATTTATCAACACATGTGCTGATAGACGCTCACTAAAGTGAAGCACGCGGTAGCAATTATAATATCCATTCAGGATACAATATTAATCGCATACCACGTACAGGCGATTTTTTGGATTTAGAAGTTGGCGCACTACTGTCCGTATCCACGTGTGCCAGATCTTTGTACCAATTCAATACAAACGTGTAAAACGGCCTGAATATTTCTGGCATGTATCCGTGTTATTGCACAGGAAAATGAATTCCATGCTTGGATGATTAAACAAAAACTGAATTAACGTTAGAAAATTGAGTCGAAATTTTTATCGGATTTATAAAATTTCACGGAATAACTTACTTCTTCTGTTCAGCTTTGCAAACTGCCTTGATTGTGCATAAATTTGGTTCAATTCGTTCTTGAAATTTCTCACGTACATATTCTGGTACAAAATTCTGACTGTTATCACTTGTCAATACTAAAAAAATTTTTTCAAGCGTAAATTAACTGAATTATGTCTAGACATTTGAATTCTTACCAAACTCTTTAGAGAATACTGTATGTGCTTCTTCATTTAAGCGTTCTGATGACAAAGCATCTTTCGTCGATGATCTGTACAATGATTTCAGATTATGCATGAAATTAAGCTCGCTTTTTCCCGCACTAACTACGGCAATCTTTTTTGAAAACTACCATTTCAGCTCTGCTCTTAACACAGCTCTCACAATATTTCAAATGTCCTCTCTCCCTTTTCTTCATCTCATTCTTTTGAATTAAAAAAAACAAGTTATTGAGTCCCGCAAAATTTCAATGTGTCGACACTCAATAAGTTAATCTATTTATTTCTAAGCTATTCACACCTCCAGCAAAAATCTGATGAATCTCACATGGAATGTGTTGTCACTGTTACCATCGATGTAAAAGCGAAATGATTTTTCAAATTTTCTTTTTTCAAAATGGCTAAAAAACACACCAAGCATTAGATCAGTGATTAGAATTAATCTGAGCGCTGCACTAAAGGAAATGGAGCATTTTTGACTACTCTTCAAAAAAAATGTCGGGCTTTTGTGAACATATGAATTATACATGAATATTTCCCCTGAGACAATTCCACCTTGAAAGCTATGATTAAAAATTAAAAGCAACCGAGTCTTCAGCACTAAACAATGAAGTATGGAAAATTGAAACAAATTCAATCATTTTATAGAACAAATTTACTTATCAGAAAGACTATTTTCGGCTGTAACAACTGCGCCATTATTAATTGTGCGCAATTTATTTGAAATTTATGAAAAAGCCTTAAAATTCAATCTGCTTCCAAGTCTTACTAAGTACTCTATTAAACACACAGAACCGTTTTTGAATGTGAAAAGCAATATTCGCGAAGGCAAGTATTTCCGTACGGAAATACCGGTTAGAAGCCGGTTAGAAGTTGCCTTCGGAATGGGACGAGGAATTTTGATCAAAGAGAGCTTACATAACAAAGTACTAAAAAGTACTCAGAACATTCATGACTGTTACTTTCAAAAACCTTCGGTCAGTTGTTGGAAGAGAGTTAGCGTGAAGAGTTCTCTGAGTGAATATGGTGAGACTGAACATGCAACCACTGGCCAGAGATAACCTCATGATTGCACGATTCCCTCATAGATGGTGACGAAATTAAAGTTGTTCTGTGCAGTGCATCCCTCAGCAGCGAATGATTTTTCGTCCGAAAGACGGAAAAATTTATCAAACGATGAACAAATCGATAAGAATGAATAATTGTTGCAATTACGACAGGTTATCTTACATAGAAATGATTGACTTTTAAAAAATCATGCTGCAATTTCAATTTCATAAGTTGTCTTAACGCGTTTCATGTCAGATTTCAACTTCTTTAAATTATTTAATCGCAAAAATAACATATATTCAACAATTACATTCATTACCTTGCTAATGCCTTGTAAGTTTCTTTCGTACATCACATAAAGTTTTGCCGATAAATTTGAACTATGCAAATCAATAAAAGAATAGTGCTATTCAAGTAAAAAAATGCAAAAGTAGTTGAACATTTTTACACTCTCAGATGGAAGGAGTGATCCGTGAAAGAAAGGTCCCGAGAACTGTCAACTGAAACGACAAAAAAAGTAAAATCCGCCGGAATCGTCAAGATAGAAGTACTTGCAACTGCTAATGGTAGTCCTTTAAGATGTTTCCTCGAAATGAAAGTCAATAAATTCTCAAAAAAAAAGTTTTAATGCTAATCAGGTGACAGCGCGTGCAATTTCTAGCATTAGGAAAATGAATTTTATGATCCAGTTAGTAACAAAGGGCAAAACGAAAAATTGAGAGTAAAGCTTCACAATTTCGAATTTAATCAAATGGAGATTTTTTTTAAAAATTTCTATTTTTGCATGAATTTTCAATTCCAGTTTATCAATTCAGAAGAAACTGATGAATGGGAAATGAAAGGTTGATGTACTGAAGATGTATGAGTGAAAATCACAGCTTTAAATGAAATGCCGCTCAAGCAAAATGTTCCAACTATTCTGAATTACCATATTCAATCGTAATGACTTACTGCGCTCTTTTTAATAAAGATATACAATAATGTTTTGATGATGACTTTTACTGCTGCTTCATTGGTACATAAATATTAATCAAAATTTCTCATTTACGAGTTCTCTGACAAAAAGGCTGAAAAGAAGAGGGACGATTAACAGGTGGATGACAATGGTAGTTGTGGGCAATTATAACTCGAGGTAATACCCGCATCAACAGTATCAATACCAGTACACACAACATATGCACTGATAGCTGAGACACGCCAATCTTCCTCACTAAGGAGAACGGCAAAGTTTCTCAATTTGGATTTGAAGTTATAGGTGAAAAATGCTACTTGGAAAATGAGTTGAATGAGATTCCAGTAACATTGCAAAATGAAACAAAGTTCCAAGTCAATAACAAATGATTCTGTAATAGAAAGCATTTCAAGCTGTTAATAGCAGTTTCTCGGACTCGAGAAATTTATCCTCCAAAAGCAATAGCATGTCAGCTGAAAGGTTTAACGAACCTTTCTTGGAATAAGAATTTCACTGTTTTTTCACCTAATTCGCATGATGAATGGAAAAAGTGACAGTGAATAACGCGCTACAACGAAATGATATTTACTTCTTTTGGAAGTAAGCAACGTGATATATTCTCGGTGTTCTTTCATTTCTTTTGCTATCATTTTTGTTCACCGCTTCTTGACACTTTTTTTATGCATTCCATGTAATAATCCTTTTATTCAATATTTCAAAGCAAACTACACGCGGTGATACAGCCAGAAAACGAAATCCGACGATTACACTTCTGATGGTCACCATAATCATGTGGTTGCAGGTCAATGAAGAAAGAATAAGTAAAGTGGAAGAGGCTTTTTCAAGCTTCTTCCACCTTCGTGGCATGCTTGAAGCCTTTGCTGTGGTAATGTCGAAATTTGCGAAATCGCAGGTCAGGAGCGGAAAAAGTCTCCTAAAAGCTCTCATTCTGCGACATCTGTTTAATCCTTCAGGAACTGCAGGAAGAGTTCTTACTGGCTAGGAAAAAACCTGACCCGACCCTTCCGTCGCTCCGGTCCGCAGTGAACCAACAAGTAACGTGGTTCCGCTCAGAGACCGCATTGCAGATATCCCTGACCTTCCCTCTCTCTTTCTAATTCTCCCCACTCAAATAACACTCTCCCCTCGCACCATATTTCCATGTCCATGAACTGGACATGCTATTCCTCCACACTTCACGCTCCCTCACCTCTATTCATTGTGCAACTCTTATGCAATGTTGTATTTGCTCGTATGCCTCGATTTGTGAGACAAAGTGGGACGAATATGAGCTGAACACTGCCTGAGCGAGTTTGAGCTCTTACCTTACCGTCACCAATACCTGTGTATTACGTTTGTACTGCATGCAATATTGCCACAGAATACGACGTACAGCGGTCGCATTTGAACAGATACGCGGAATGTTCAGTGAACTGATAGAAACACCACGAAGTATTGGAAATGATTGGAAAGCGGGAGAAAAGTAGGTCCTTTTAATTATACTTCATTCCTTTTACAGCCATTTGCATTTCTCTTTCGCTTTCCCTCCTGTAAAGCTTGGGAATAGCGACAAGAACATGGCATGTGAAGTAAGCATTACCTTTCACGCCGTTTTCTTCGGTACCGACACCATTTTTTGATATTATTTGATCAGCATTGTCATATTTAAATATTATTTGCTAATGCAGAGATTTCTTTCTCGAAATTTGCCTAAGTAAAGAAGGTTTCGACTATGTAATTGTTTTCTGCCAGTGATATCACGAAACTTGCCGCGGATAGAAAAATTTTTTCAGAGTGCCATATCTCTGTTTGGCAAAGACATTCGAAAGTATTGAAGCTACATCATCACGGTTAGCTTTTTCATTTCTCGTAATTGAGTAACACACTTATTCTCTCATTCCTCTTCGTCGTGTCGTGAATTCAGCTGGTGTTGTGCCATTTCAAATTGAGCATAGATGAGTAGTATTCATTAATTTATCTGATGTGCAGTGTGAAGGTCAATTATAGTGATTATAAATAGGTTAAAAAAGGGAGGGGAGTACGAGAAGTAATTCGGGGAAAGTTGATGGCTTCTTTTACTCAATGCAAATCTTTTTATGTAAAAATAAATATATCTCCTCTTTAACTTCTAGGCTAGAAATAATCAAAACATTGGCTAGTTTTTTTGGGAAAGTGATAGAACGAACACCAAACGAACTGGTAACGTGTGTTTATTTGTGTGTAAATAAACTTGGTCCAACATATGAAGGGATGGAGTTGGGAATTGCTGAAGGTGCTTTGATGAAAGCTATCGCTCAGGCGACTGGTCGTAAGGTATTTTAACTTTATATCTTATTTGAAAATTGGAACCTCAGTCTATCATCTTGACTGAAATTATATAAACGCTGTGTATTTAAGATTGATAAACTAAAGGAGGATTTGAATCAAAAAGGAGATTTGGGTTTGGTTGCTCAGATGAGTCGAAGCAATCAACGTATTTTATTTACGCCGGCACCTCTCACCGTAACTGCAGTTTTTCATAAATTGCAAGATATGGCGAAAACTTTCGGACATTTAGTAAATATTTAATGATTAAAATAATTAAAATAGAGTTTTATGTCAGGGTCTGTTGCTGATTTAATTTTCAGTTTGATTTAAAGAACTAGGAATGTTCAGTTTTAGAATTCTACGAAAAATCCATTAATTGAGATCGTATGTATTTTTGGGAAAATAATGCATCATGCATCTTGCTGTCTTGATTTGAGTACCATCCTTCATTCTCTTTTTCTTTATTTTCTTATCTGTGGAGACTTCAGGCAATGAACAAAAAAGTGGATATGATTAAATCACTTCTGGTTTCATGTCGTGATTGTGAACCTCGTTATTTGATAAGATGCCTGAGCGGAAAACTACGAATTGGCTTGGCAGAGCAGTCAATTCTTGTTGCTCTTGCAAACGCATTCACTAATTTTGAAATTAGAAAAAGTGGTCAGTTATGAAAAATTTTGACAACAGCCGAAGTTCCATTCAGATTAAATTTGTAAATTCTCAACAAACTTTTCAAAACTCATATTTTTTCAGTCTTTACCTTTTCGAGTTTTTTTTTATGTTTTCATTATATTAAGGTGAAAAACTGAGCTGCGAAAAAATGAAGGAACGACAAATGGAGGACATTTTATTACTGAGGAGTACATACAGGTAAAATTTCTATTGATTGTTGAATTTTTTTCTGAAGATTTTGTTTTGCTTTTAGCGAATGCCCAGATTATGAGAAAATCATCGAAGCGGTATTAAGTAATGGTTTATCAAAGCTACCGGAGAAATGTAAAATCACACCAGGTAATTGCTGTCTTTAGAAATTATTCTTTTGTTGTCATGTATTTCTATAAATCTTTCAGTTGCGATTTAGTGATATGGTTAAAGCTTCCTATGATTTACTATTAAAAGTGAATTTGTTACTTCACAGGCAAATGATATATTTCTAGTCGTTTATATGAATTTTATAAAATCTAGATATACACTATTCTTCCTTTATACTTTTTTTCTTAAATTAATTTATTCGATAAGGCATACCTGTAAAACCAATGTTAGCGCATCCGACAAAAGGGATTGCTGAAGTGCTGAGACGTTTTGGTGGTTCTGTTTTTGCTTGTGAATTTAAATATGACGGTGAAAGAGCTCAAGTAAGGATTAGCTTTTCATTTATAGAGATATGCATTAATTATTTTATCTATTTAATTTAGTTTTTAGGAGTAGCAATATTCTACTTATTCACTATGTGCCCTTTAGCTGTTCCATCATGGACTCAAGTGATATAGTCAATTATTTGCTGACAGTTGATTTGTTTACTCACTTTAATTCATTGAAAGGAAACTGATCTATATTTAATGACTTCTTTATAGATACATTATGATTCATCTCGCATCAAAATATTCAGTCGAAATCAAGAAAACAATACTAACAAATATCCGGATGTTGCAGAATTCTTGAAGCAAATTATGGATGAGGAAACAACATCTTTTATTATTGACTCAGAAATTGTTGCGTTTGATCCCATACACGAAACGATTTTACCTTTCCAGATTCTTTCGACAAGAAAGAGGAAGGTAACTAAGCTAAAAAGTCTCGCTTTATTAATCGAAACTTAATTTTTTTTATAGTTTTTTTTCATTTAACTTGGTTACGTTTATAATGTACACCATATATATTGTTTTGTTTAAAATCAATTGCATCAGTGCTAATTGAGAATTACTTGTACTTTTGGTTTTATCACTGATTAAAGACGAAATGCGGATATTAAGTTACGTTAAGTTTTTCACTTTTCTTTTTCTTCAGAATGTAGGCGAGAGTGAAATTAAAGTTAAAGTCCATGTATTTATATTCGATCTGCTCTTTTGGAACGGTCAATCACTGACGAAATTACCATATCGGAAGCGACGGGAAATGTTGCGACGACATTTTAAGGTTATATTTTAACATTGTTAAAGTGCCGTTTAAAATTACAGATTTTTTTGCGCTATGTGTTTTTATTGAGCTCAAAGCATAATTAAAATATGTAATTTTTTTATATCTTCATTTTCAATTAGGAAGTGGAAGGTGTTTGTGGATTTGTTGCATCCAAAGATACGGATGATACGGAACAAATTTCCGAATTTTTGGATGATGCTATTAAGGGTAACTGCGAAGGACTTATGATCAAAACCCTTGATTTTGATGCAACCTATGAAATAGCAAAACGGTCACGCAGTTGGCTAAAGGTTTCTGCAATATTAAAAATTTTAACTGCTACATATCATCCTTTGTTCATGTGTTCGGACACCAATTCATGAAAATTATTGTATCTTGAGATATGGAGTCACATCTGCATGTTGCAAAGGAAACTGAATAGAGGAATTACTAAAAAAAATATGTACTTAGTGTTTACTTCAGTTTTTTTCTGTCATTAAGTACTTGACGTTTAGTTTTAGCTTAAAAAGGATTATTTGGATACAATTGGAGACACTGTTGATCTCACTGTTATTGGTGCATACTTTGGTACGGGTAAAAGAACAGGCGTTTATGGTGGTTACCTGCTGGCATGCTACAATCCAACAAATGAGGAATATGAAAGCATTTGCAAGGTATTGCCGATCTGTTTGACGAGTGATTTTTTTTCTGCGTTTTGTGAACTAGAAACCTACTACAGTTTTCTAAACTTTTTGTTTAGATCGGTACAGGTTTTACTGATGACGATCTTCGCCAGCAGTATCAGTACTTTGAAGAACTCAGGATCGGAAAGGTTAGAATTTGTATGAAGCTATTAAATGAAATGCTTGCCAAGTAGTTTTTCTATCACTTATTTAATATCCTTCACCAATGTCTCGCACACCGTTCACAGGAAGAGTACTTTTTTAATGGGTGGCTCAATTGATGTTTAGTTTTATTCAGAATTAGAATATAGTAATCTTAATAAATATGGTCAGGATGCTTACACCATTTTTCATTGTTTTTAGACATTCAGTAGAGAAAATTATCAAGGAAAAATTTTGGCGGAAAATCTTCTGTTTACTGTTTTATTGCTGTTTATTGTTTTATTGCTGTTTATTGTTTAGATAGATTAAAACTTTCCAATATTCGGAATTATTATGTTGACAAGAATTTTAATATCTATTAGGTTGATATTTTGCTGAGCCGCTGTTTTTTATTATTGTTTCAGGCTCGTCCTTACTATTCTTACGATAGCTCATTAAAACCGGATGTATGGTTTGACCCGAAAATTGTGTGGGAAGTGAAAGCAGCTGATCTGTCAATATCTCCTAAACATTTTGCTGGAAGAGGAATCGTGAGTTCTGAAACAATTTCAGATTATTTTCCAAGAAAAAATTTCTGTATGAATTGTATGTTTATTGCTATATGTATATTTGTGTTTTCGATAATTATTTCGGTTGTTTGTTTGGAGACAGAATTTTCTGCGTTTTAGGAGTTTCAAAATATCTCCTTTTTGAGGTAGATCTGGAAAAAGGAATCTCACTACGATTTCCTCGATACGTTCGAAGGCGAACTGATAAAACACCGGAAGAAGCTACCACTTCACAACAGGTTTACCTCCAAAACAAATAAAAAACGTGCATAAAGCCTTTCTATGCATTATCTTGTTGGTTTTCCTGTAGTTTAATGAATATAATGAAATACTAGCGAATTCTGTTATGATTTCAGATAGCGGATATGTACAGCAACCAGGAACAGATCAGAAATAAGGGAGCAGTTGATGCTAATGACGATAATAATGATGACTACTATTAATTTTAATTGTTCTTTGATGTCACTGTGTGATGTTACGTATTTCATTATTAACGTTCAAATATATCTTTTTTAAAAGCACAATCGTGAACTATACAAGGAGGAAGAATGGGTATAAAAAAGAATGAAGTGTGATGAAAGGTTGAGAAATGTGTGTATTTCTATGGATGTCTTTCGTTCCATTATTTGGCGAAAGACTTTTTATCAGTATTAGTGAAACACTGTTTTTGTTCACTTCTTCATTGGTTCATTAATTATCGACAGACACTTTTTCGAATTCTCTTGCAAAGACTTTTGACGCTTTGTAATTTTCTTGTAAATAAACTGTGCTATTTTTTTCCCGTCTTTGTCATTTTTCAAATTATTCGAGAATTTCATTCAATCACAATTGCTGATATACTTACATAATGCGTACGAGTCACACTTGTTTAGTTTATTTATGCTGAGCTGTAGACTGAGGTCCTAGCCATCGCATGAGAGGATATTTTGAAGCGTTTGTTATAGTGAGGTGATGAGATGAAGATTTCTACTTCAAACTGTGATAACTATGAAAGATTCCTTAAGCAACAGCGTACAATCTTTTGTTGACGCTTTTATTAGGAACAAAACAGAAGTCTTACTCAGCAATCGCTGATCCGATAGCATATACTTTTGCTTATAAGTATCTTGCATTTTCGTTAACACAGCGTTTATGCTGCTTCGGTTCTTCAGTCTTCAAACTATTTTAATGTTGAATGAGAATTGGTCCAATTTTATGCGGATTAGGTCCATTAGCAGGATTTTAGATGTTTCCGGAAGATAATTGCTTGCTTGCACAACGCTAATTTATTTTTTTCATCTCAAAAGCCGGTTAAAGAAATTTCGAATCCAAGGAAATTGAATCATCAATTTCTTCATGCTACTTATTTAAAACAATTGTCTAGTGGGAAATTAAATGGGAAATGTCGCCTATTTAACCGTTCAACCAGGTTGTCGCTAGATTATTATTTGTGTAATTGTCTTAATTTTCTTTAAAGTAACTCTAGAAGCAATTTAAATGTTTTATCTACGTGGTAGACATACATTTCTAATTTTTGAAGTTACAAAAATGTGTGTTTGTGGCAAGCAAACAATGTTGGAAGCTATACTATTCTTGCCTTCGAATAGCGCAGTTGTGCGGTTTCCAAGCTAACAATGCGCACATACATATACAAAATGTGAAACAGTGAGCTGCATGCCTATTTGTATTTTCAGAAGTCCCTCTATGAGATCTCTTAATTCCATGCCAATTTGTCAAGCCTTCATATTTAATTCATTCAGTGCTGGATTGCCGGGAAGTCCAATCAACATTGTCGATTTTCTGCAATAAATATAAACTGATTTGTCAGTACCAGTTTAAAATTTTCAGAACAGTAAAATATTTATAACTGAATTTAAAAGAAGGTCAACAGCATCTTCACTTCTGAAACTTTAGTCACGGAAATTTCAAAGGAAAGAGATTTGATTTCAGCATTTAAAATTAAACATTTGTAGACAGTAGTTTCCAATAAATTGTTGTCGAAGAAAAATGCGACAACTAAATGGTCGTTTTTGTTTGTCTTTCACACCAGTTCTTTTCTACTTGTCGTGTCCAATTTCGATTTGAGAAATGTGAGAAATAATCAGAAAACGTGAATCATTTTGAAGGGTAAAACAGATTACATTCAAAGATTTCACAGTGAAAGCTATAAAAAGCACAATTTTTAACTTTTCAATTACATTTGATTTCATTATCTTTTCATCTATTTTTAACAAAATACTTTTGGCTAAGTCTCTGTTAGTGAAGATTTTACATGCTAAATCTTATGTTGCTTAATAAAACTTCGAAGTTATTATGAATTTTCTGGATTACAATTAGTTATCAGATTGAGATAAATTACTCAGTAACAAATAAAGTAATGATGAAACTAAACAAAAATCGACTGAACTGCAGGTTTGGTAACATTTCCCTTATATTTGTGTCAAATAGTTGTTGGACTGAAATAAGAGTGAATTCAATGAAATATATAGAAATAATTGTTAATTACTCGAATGATTCTGCTCTGCGGTTCTTTTACTAAAGTGCCAAGTAAATTGAACGATTTGAGTTTTCTCATGAACAATTAGTCCCAGACGCTATAGATGTCAAGTCTTGTTGGATATAAGAACGATTTGTAAAATTGCCACCTATCCGTCTAATTAGCTATCGTTAAAGACTGAACTGTGACTGTTCCATCCACAATCCGTAAATATAAAACATATTACAAAAGATCATTTGACTTCAGGAAATAAGTATGAGCAAGTTTTCATTTGTTTTTACCCATTTATATTATTTATTTATTTATTTGCATTTACAGTTAAATGTATTTTAACCCTCCATGATGTAGAGGCTTAATTTTGATAATGAAAGTGAGAAAATTTGATATTCTTTACTTTTGATTTCTGTCAACTTTACCATATTGCATTCATTTTTTCTATTACTGTGTGACAAAAGTTTGACTTCTCTAAATTTTAAAAAATATAATATCAAGCAAAATAATATATTATTTCTTTCACTACTTTTTGCTCCAGGAAGGATTTTATTCCGTTTCGTCAACCTGTTTTTAAATAATTTTAGCAACGCTTCTAAAGAAACGTTGTTACAAAGAGAGAGGAAAAAATGTAGCTTTACTAATAGCTAGGAAAGCATCTCACAACATCGAAATTGCAGTTTCAGTTTGGAGTAAAGTAAAATCAAAATTGAATTCAATAAAACGAGCATAAATCGATAGGTCTAGAAAGTAGGATATTTCCGATCAGTCAGATGAAATCATTAACTGAAATTTAAAACTCGTTGCAGTGATAGAAGTATGCAATGAATTTTCACTCCTCTTAGACCATAATTGATACTATTATAATAGAACAGTCTATTCGGGATCAAGACATATCAGATTGTCACAACAATAATTCAAAGTATTTCGCAAAATTAAAATTTCATCCGATGAATTCAGATGTTCATTCTTAATTGGAAATGAAAAAAAAAACAGTATTAAAAGTCAGCTTACTACGTAATTGCGTTCATTTTGCAATTTCTATCCAAGCGTGCGTGGGTTTTTTTGCTTATTAAATCTCCAAAAATTAAAAAAATTTTTCATCTGTTTTTTTAAAGCAGTTTTTGAAATCTTTCGTTATAGCAATAATGTAGCCGAGGGGAAATTCGCTGCTGGTTTTTCTGAACTTTGTTAGCAATTTATTTGTTTTGCGCCCATACAAACTTTAAGTCTTTTTAAAAGTTTATCGACGTTGGTAGCCTCTTTTAATGCCATCACTCATAAAAATTTAATTCGAAATTTAAAATGAATATATTTGAAATAAGCAGCGATAAGAGACTAAAAAATTTGGAGCAAATAGAAATCATCCTATGATCACTGATGATATGCACATATTTTTGGCTATGGACCTTAATCTGCACAGATCGGCAACTGAATTGGTACCCCTTAAATAAAAATAAAAAAGGCAAATAAGCACGGGAATGCTTACCATCCTAAATCTTTACTTACAACTGATCCACTTCTATCCATATTAATTGACCACCTTACATTACGTGACAGTGCTGTGTTACCACTTGAAAGGAATTTTTTTCTATTCGCTGTACCCTGTGGCATTAATTCATTTCAGAATCCATAAATGGATCACAACGAATACCTTTCGATCAAATACAAAATCTGCTTGAAAAAGTATATTTGATTATTATTGCAGCGGTTTAGTGATAATCACATTAAACTATGATAAGTTTTGAGAGTGCTAACAAACCGCTAACTAAAAGCTTGCCAATAATTTTCTTATGCTACGGCTATGTACTACATTTTTTCATAATTTGTTAAGATTTTGTTTGGATAATATAAGTAAATGATTATGAAAATCTATCAGGCTAATCCTATATTCCAATCTGTTGATATGAATTTCGACGATAAGCTTAGTGAAAATACGGAGATCAAAGATTTTAATCTCTTAAATATTTATGTTTATGCAGTTCTACTCTATTCACTACCACTGGAATATACTTGAGAAGTTTGAGAAACTTAAAACAAATTTCACTGAGCATTACAGTGGTGAAACGTGCTTGCCGTCATCATCTGCGGTGCCAAACGGTCAACTGAGTGAAGGACAACGGTCGTCCACACAGTATGATCCGTATAAAAAGTTATTACCGTTATTCGTCAAAGTTTCGAAATTTATCAACTTCTAAACTGTTCAGAAATCTCTTGATCGATTAATTAGGCAGAATATAAAAATAGTATTTTGAAAGTCGAAATTATCGGATTTATTTAACGAATTGGAATCATTCAAAATAATCCCGCCGAATCGACGAAAACCAATTATTGTATACTTATAATGAAATGAAATTCCACTGATTGCAAACTTTGAACGTTTCATTTCAGTGATCAAAGTGTATATATACAACAATGGCAGTATTCAAAATATAGAGAAACGACGTCATCCAGTCAACAGCCAAGTCCGGTGGTGATTCCAAGTCCGTCAACTGGAACACGTGTTGGACTGGCTGACTCCTTCAGCAAATCATCTCACACAGATTATTTCAGAGGTTTTTTAAACGAAATTTAAGATATTTTACATCAGCGATCATTTTTTCCACTTTTTTCTTAAATTTCAATTCCCTTCAATTACGAAATCATTTGAGTACAGATGAGTTACATTGGATTTTTAACGGTTACGCATATAGCACATTCATATACATATATGTCTTCGTTTTCGTTCCACTTGATCCTTATTTCTTTGTTATTCAGATTAACCTTTTTGCAAAGCAATTATAATTTAAAATTCGAATTCAGCTTACAATCTTCAGCTTCCATTTAGTTTAATTGAAGATTCACAGCTGAATTAGATAGATGTGGTTACGGTAATTAAATAATTTGAAACGCAGAGTTGAAAGTAAATATCCATAAAGTTTGAGTTTGAAATTTTAATGAATTTAAAATCAGAGCGATTTCAGACATCGATCCTTGCTCAAATTGTAGCAATCTTCTAATTCGTGCTGCTGAATTCTTGACAAAGATTGAATTGAATTATGAACGACCAACGACAGTGCCGTCAAACTTGAGCACTTCTACTCAGTACACTCTATCAATTGATCACCGAAAAACACAGGACCGCTTGCCAGGAGCTCTATGAGCCTTCATTTCCATTACTACAATCCGCGTTTCCCATTTGCTCCAGTCTACTTCATTTTAAATAAATCAGCCTAAAGAGACATTCGTCTGATTTCTATTACAAAAGCTTTTTCTTTTGAAACACTGTAGCAATTGACAAATGAGTTGACCATTTGACAAAAAGGAAAGGAGAAAAGAGAAGAGAGTGAGGAAGTTAACTGCATCAGTTTTGATTTCAGAAAAGAAGACAATATTCCACACAGACCCATTTCTGCTTTCGATAATAAAGGTTATTCTTTCATTAAAATTTTCGCAAATTTTACTGCGAACGAATGCTTGTTAAGTCTTCATTGTGAAAAAGCAAAAATTGTTCTTTTTATACGTTTTGACCGTCCGAATGATACCTTATGAAAGGCACATTTCTTTCTAAAAGTGTCTCTCTCCACTTCCAGTAATTCCTATCAGATTGCCATCAGTCGCAACGCACACAACAAATATGGTATGAGTTATGATTTTGCTTCATCTAAAAGATTTCATTTCAGATAAGAGAATAGAGAAAGGTGAGATTAACTGTTTTGTAATATATATTGATGAGCAATAGTGAAATAGCTATGAGGAAATTTGGATTCGCCTAGGATTATACCACTCAATACCTTCAGTAATTTCTTTCCCGGCGTTTCATGATATTCCGCATTAATTGATATATTCTAATTGCGCTAGGATATTTCCAGAACAAAAGTAATGAAAGCCTGATCAATATGCAGCGAAAAAGAGCCAGCGAATTGACAATTAACAATGTTTCACAACTGGAAGAAGATATCATCACACCACTTGAATGGATGTTCTCATCAAAAGAAAAAGTCTATCCTTCCATCTATTTTTATGTCAGCGCTTTTCAACTTCTCCCCTTTAACTCCCCTTCTGATGGTCACGAATTATAATAGAAAACTGACCTTCCCACTATATGTCAGAATTCCCGGACACCGACTGGTGACACACTATCATCCAATGTGATCAGATATTTTTACAGTTCATATACCTTATTTCAAATTAAATATACTTTTAGTGGGAAAAACGGGAGAAGGATAATATAGTGCAGGATGAGATGAACATCAAATCAAAGTTGACAAAAAATCGCGAAAAAAGACAAGTAAAGCGAAAAGCTGCAGCGAAGAATAGCCTGATGACGTTAGACACCGCAAAATTAAAGGGAAGCGCTGCAGAAGGAATGCAATCCGGTTAGCAGCATACATAAAACCGAGTACAACTTAATGGGCTTACTGATGAGAATGATAGTGTGCTAATTTTACCATGCAATACTTTCACTTAATGGGATACAATCAGCATTTGCCTTCAGAAATTTTTTAAAAAGTCACTGGAAGTATGGGCCAAAAGAATATATTACCATTTCGCTTGTTTCTTAAAAAAGTTTTTTGCATAGAGTTAGAAAAGGATGGTAAAGCCATAGCAGCAGAAACACTGAAACTAAAGGACATTTCCAAGAACGATGGAGAAAAGGTTACTGATGACAAACAGAACGTAATCAACAGTGTGAAAAGTCGACGAGAAAATAAAGGTCAAGTCGAATAGAAAATAAGTAATTTGTTCGATATATTTCACTTAACTGTACTCTAGAATCACTTTCATCATTTAACATGTTACTGCTGTGCGTTTTTGGTCAATGCAATTAGCATAACCAAAATTACTCAATATGCGGGAACACATACATTTATCATAGTGAAATACAGAATAAGGCTGCGAGTACCTTAACATACCAAAAATCATCAAATAAACAGTAATAAACATAAGGAAACATGAAATCGATTTACACTGTTTAAGAGAAGCTAACAGTGTGCAATGAACATGCAAGAAAATGATTTCAAACAGCCAAATAATGCAGCAATAACGCATCACTACACATTTATATATACTTTTCTTATCGTTGCATGTGTTGAACACAAATTAAAAATAAATGTAATTTATGATATAGATTCTTTGTAAAACAAACAGCTAGTATTACAAGCACTACATCTGAAAAATGTGCCATAACCATTAGACACCAGCGTTTCCCCGATTGTGACAATGTCCACAAATGATTCCGGTTTTTCATTAAATCCATGAGAACAGGATACGCTAACAATTTCATTTCCTAGTTTCATTTTAGAAAATTAGCTTGGAAATATTCTTTCTGCAATATAAACCCCACTAAAGTCAGGGAACAGACTCGAAAAAAGAAAAAAAAGAAAGTACCCCGTCAAAAAAGCATATCAAAAATTTCGATATGATGAATAATCAGGGAATCAAAGCATAGCAATAAAGGGAAAAGAAGATGAGAGCAAAAATATTATTAAATCTACAAATAAAAATGGAACATAGCATGAACGGGAAATAATAACGGTTACGGCGAACTAACAATGTAAATTTTTTTACTGAAATGAAAAATTAATCCAAAATTGCATATCTCAACAGGTTATACCGTTCAAATGTACATAACAGTTATAATGTAATGTAAATATATACTGAGTTCCTACGATAGCGAATTTATAAAATCATAAACATTAAACTTCATGCGAAAAAAAAGAAAGCCAATCAAAAACTGAAATTTTTTCATGGTAAATTTCCAATTCCCTTTCGCTAAAATTATAAACACCGTAAAACGGAATCTAAATAGTGCAAACCAAAGATCCAGCACCACAAGTACACACCTGTGTACACTCGGGCCACATATTTTTCTACAAACTACTAACTGATCACTAAATCGAAAAACAAAGGATGACAGCAAATTGGACAACTTTATCACTTTCGGCAAAGAGAAATGATACAACGGAAAATAGGGCAAGACACAATTAATAAACTTATAACTTCACAAGTGTGAAATTTTAAAATTTCTCTGTGTAATAGATGTTATCTGTTGAATAAAAGCAATCAAGGTCTTCTAATCAAATAACGGAAGGAGAAGAACTAAGAGAAATGAGCTCTTTCAAATAAGACAGCAAATATACGGCAAAATGTACATTCCAAAGAGGAAACAATAAAAAAGTTACCTGTAATGAACAACTACGCGGATAAATATAGTAAACCGGAAGAGATGCACTGTTATTCGCAGATCGTCACAAATGAGAGATGACATAAGCATTCTCTCATGTTAACATTACATCAACCAACCATCGATGACGTCAAAGGAGCAGTCATTGATTCAGTCTGTAATCAGATCTATTCGAAAAAAGACAAGCGAACAGTATTTTTCACTCAGAAAATCCGATTAAATTAAAAAAACAAATTTAAGCTTGAAAAAATTGATTCAACTCACTTCATTCAACTCATTTTCCAACAGCTTTAAATTTTGTCTTCAGTGTACAACTCAAAAAATACACATGTGGAATTACTACTCGTTCCAATAATTTTTTCACGTCCTAATAACGAGCTATATGGCGCTATTATAATGAACATACCGGTATGCTTAGCGAAGTACTTGATGTAGTCGGTGGCTGAGCATTAACGGGATTATATTTCCACTGTTGCTCCTGATCAATGACAAGTTTCACGCCACGTTGAATGCCATTTGAATTAGAAGGAGCTGAAAATTTAAATTCATAAAGCTTATTTTGTTATACTACTTTATGCATAAAAACGACAATTACAATGCATGATATCTAAGAAAATACATTGTCCACTGATTTTTTAAAAATATCTATTTCCTTTTAATATCCCTTCCTTTTTCTTCTACTAGTAGTTAAATGAAACCAATAATCAAAAAATGTAAAGGTATTGTACCGTCAGCAAATGGATCCATATCGGCGTCAACTTCTTCTACAGTACGTCTGTACACAGGATTGTCCACATGAAGCACTGCGAAGCTTGTCGGCCGCTTATGATACCACAAATAACCCTTTAAAAAAAGGTCCTTTCCATTTTTCATTTATTTCAAAAGAAATTAAACTGAAAAAACCAAACGACATTTTACATATGATAATTGATAAAATTGACTGCCAGATAAATAAACATGCTAAGAGAGAAAAATTTAAGCGCCCGAATATTCTACCTTCACTCTCCGGAATCTCATAAAAGGCCACAGATACTCTCAATTTGATGTCGTAGTCAAATAAAATGAAGCATGACAGAACACTTATCACTATCAATACTACCAGTTCACACTTACCGCGATTGCTGCAGAAGCAACGAGCAGCAGCAAAAACAACGAGGAGAATGAAAAAGGTGATGATCCATTCAACTTATTACCTAAAATAAAGTTCCAAAAATAAAAACATATAAAAACAGCAAGAATAGAAAAAAAATGACATGTGGTGCACTTACTTCCACTAGCGGCCGATTCCAAAACACAATAATTCTCATTTTCCAAGCTTACAATGAAACCATTCATACAAACACATGTATATGGACGTCCCTTCAGAAGAAAATGAGCATCTTTATTGACCGCTAAAAATTATTCTTCGATTAATACTAAATCGAAAAAATAATATGAATGCTTAAGATCTTCGATATTAAAAATTGAAAAGAACATTTAACAATTCAACTTCAACTTAAAACTGCGATTGGCTCATATCGACTCGTTAAACATTTCTGCCAATGTCTCAAAATGGTATTATGAAAAACAAAAACATATTGATAAATGATGTGAAACAGAGCCTAATAGACAAAACAACTAAGTCATTTCTCAAAAACATAGCAGTAAATCTCATGAAAAATGTATGGAAACAATTGAACGGATCATAAACTGATGATAAAAAAATTTATTTTTTAAATTGATTAAATGAAGTCTGATTAATCCAAAAGCATACGCAGATGAGCTTTAGGAAGACACATGTGCTCACATTCATGGTTGGCGCATTTGTTAGGGTGATCAGGTTGGGCCAACTCATGATATACCCTAACTGTCATAGGGCCAGAAACGCCATTCATTACCTGAAACATACAATCGAAAGAGAGCATTCTAGAGAAGCAAAATAGGTCTGCGCATGAATTTCTTAAATTCCGTTATAAATCTCCGACGTCATTCTAAATACAGTTTAAAAATTGGGCAATGTGGATGAAGATGAGTGTGATGTTACTTACTGTCTTGAAATCGCTGCCTGTGAATTTATTAGCAGTAAGAACTCCTTCCTGATCCCAATCTGTCCAGTACAGACGTTCTTCAAAAACAGTTAACGAAAAAGGATGCTTCACACGTTCATGTGAACGAAGCACAAGCCTGATATGTTGTCCCCAGTAATCGCAAGACATAATTAATTTCACTTTCGCATCTGCCCAATAAAGCCTTTGTTCTAGAATATCCAAAGCCAAACCATTCGGCCATTTGATCATTTCACCAGAAATTATGATCTGTAAAACTTTCTCATTTGATCTATTTTCCAACACATAGAATTCCTGTTCTTTAAGCATTCAAAATAATATGAGATGTTAAAACTAACGAAAGTTTATATTTTTCCCTGAGAAAAAAACGATTTTAATGAAAACATATATTTGGAAAGATTTGGAAACAATGCAAATTATATATTATCTCAACAACAAATTAAACACAGGATGCGCTTCTAAATTTGAACATATATGATTCCTACGAACTATTCCTCATAAATGTGAACGTTTAGAAATAAATATTGAAAATTACAGCTGAATTTTCTAGAAAGTTTCACAATTACCGTTCTGTTGTTGCCATCCATACCAGCACGTTCAATGCGTGCACTCAAACCCCAATCGGTCCAAAAGATCAGCCCCCTCAATGGATCTACAGCGATTGCACGTGGTTCATCTAGATTCTCAGAAAATAATGTCCGTCTTTTACGCGTTACCAGGTCCAGAACATTGATCTGCAAAATATTAAAATTAAAAAACTGATAGTTTGCTTACATGCAGAATCTAAAATTTGTTAATGACTCTATTTTCCATTATCTGCCAGAAAATAGCAATGAATTTTTATTACCTGATCAAGGCCTGTATCAGTCCAAAACAACAACTGATGAACCCAATCAACCGCTAAACCATCCGGCGTAGAGACATCTTTATCAATAAGCGTTATATTATGCTCTCCTTCAGCACAGCCACGAACATCTTGCAATGTCTTCAATCCTTTACCCATGTGGCATATCATTATCTTTTCCTGCGAAACATCCGACCAAATTAAAGTATCATTCCTTAAAAAGACTTTGAATCAAATATGAAGGTCGAGGAAACAAGGAAAGATTTATTAATCCACTTAACCACAAACATTCAAAACCAAATTTACTCTTATTTCATAACTAAAGTTTTATAACAAGATTGAGAGAGATGAAAACTCAATTTCGAAAAACCAGCATTCTTGTACATTTCAAATGAAATCTTAGAAAATAGAAGAAAAGAAAATCAGAAATATTTTAGTGTACGCTTTAAATGAAACTCTAGAAAACAAATAAAAGTGAAAAGAATATCTGAAGTCGGTACAAAATAAATCATCTCGGTGTGCGCTTCAAACCCATATTAGTACTCGAAATAAATGGCTGTCAAAATTAACACTACATATTTTTACTGACTTCAATCGTCAATTTTTTTAAACAAAGTATAACTGTATCGAACTACTTATCTACATTAAGCTATCA